AATCAAATAATTGTAATCCAAATACTCGCACTTATAATGAATTGATATTGGGATTTTGCAGGGCAAAGAATGTCCACAAGGCCATGTTACTTCTTCATAAAATGCTTGAGCTGAAGCTTCAACCAGATGTAGTTACCTACAACCTATTAATCCATGGACAGTGCAAAGAAGGGCAGCTGGGTAGTGCTTATAAGCTTCTCAGTTTGATGAATGAAAATGGTTTGGTTCCTGATGAATGGACTTACAGTGTCTTCATAGTTGTACTCTGCAAAAGGGGGCGGGTTGAAGATGCTCGTTTTCTCTTTGACTCCCTAAAGGAGAAAGGCGTAAAGGCAAATGAAGTAATCTATAGTGCATTGATTGATGGCTATTGCAAGGTCGGAAAAGTCAGTGACGGTCATTCATTGCTTGATAAAATGCTTAGTGATGGATGCGTTCCAAATTCAATTACTTATAATTCCTTGATAGATGGACATTGCAAAGAGAAAAATTTTCAAGAAGCTCTTTTACTTGTGGAAATAATGATAAAGAGGGACATTAAGCTTACTGCTGATACTTACACCATTCTTATAAAAAATTTATTAAAAGATGGTGAGTTTGACCGTGCCCATCAGATGTTTGATCAAATGCTTTCCGCAGGTTCTCATCCTGATGTAGTTATCTATACTGTATTTATTCATGCATATTGTAGCCTTGGTAGATTACGAGACGCGGAGTTATTTCTTCATAAAATGAATGACAAAGGAATATTGCCAGACACTCTGCTTTATTCATTATTGATTGACGCATATGGATGGTCTGGATCAATTGGAATTGCTTTTGACATTTTGAAGCGTATGCATGATGTCGGTTGTGAGCCGTCTTTCTACACATATTCTTATTTAATTAAACATCTATTAAGTGCAAAGCTGATAGAAGTAAATAGCAGTACAGAGTTGGGTGACTTGTCATCAGGGGTGGTTTCCAATGATTTTGCCAACTTATGGAGGAGAGTAGATTTTGAATTTGCTTTGGAGTTGTTTGAGGAAATGGTCAAGCAAGGCTGTGCACCTAATGCTAATACTTACAGCAAGTTTATTTCAGGTCTTTGCAAGGTGGGATGCTTGGAAGTAGGTCGCAGGTTGTTTGATCATATGAAAGAAAAAGGACTATCGCCTAATGAAGACATTTATAACTCTCTTCTTGGTTGTTCGTGTCAATTAGGATTGTATGAAAAAGCAATAAGGTGGTTAGATATCATGGTAGAGCATGGATATTTACCACATTTAGATTCTTGCAAGCTGCTGCTCTGTGGCTTGTTTGACGAAGGAAATAACGAGAAAGCAAAAACGGTGTTTCATAGTTTACTTCAGTGTGGGTATAATTATGATGAAATTGCTTGGAAATTACTTATTGATGGCTTACTTCAGAAGGGCCTTGTTGATAAATGCTCTGAACTATTTGGCATCATGGAGAGACAAGGTTGCCAAATTCATCCAAAGACATATAGTATGTTGATTGAGGGATTTGATGGTATTCAGGATATAGATTAATCATTTACAGGTTCAAGGAGAACAACACTATTTTTATCTTTGAGTGGTATAAACTGATGAATTGCAAATTCCTTACCCACTTGCCCTCTGGATACTTGATCACCTTTGCAAGTAACTTCTCTGTTGAGTGATGGTGATGTTGCTCAATGAAGGGTGCGCATGTTGATTTCTTGGGTACAATATTATGGGCAATAGCGCCTTAATGAGTAAAACTTCAGCAACAATGGGAAGGCAAGCTCTTTTACTCTTTTTCATTTTATATATTCTTTTATACGTTTAAATTCATATGATTGTTCTTATTTTAAGCTTTCTTCTCTCGGTAACTACCTGACAAATTTTATTAATTGGAGATCCTTTCTTGGCTTAGAGTTGGTTTCCACCTTCCTTTTGTACATTTCAATTTATAAATGTTTCCAAGGAAATTTATTATACCGCGTTATAATTCTCATTTATTTGTTAATTTAGATAGAGCTCAGCTGTCATCTTTCCCTTTAGAAAGTCTGCCATGAAGGCAAGCATTTTGGAAAAATATGATATTTGACATAACATTAAGATAATAACTCCTTTCATTCTTCTCTCTCTTGATGTATATATTATTTTTGTCTATGAAGTATATAAATTGGTTAATTTTTCTTTCATATATCAAATTCCTTGACATCTGGACACTTTTCAAGAACTGATTGTCACTTTCACATTTTCTTTGATAAGATTAGTCTTATCATTTTATTGTAGGCACCCGGACATAACTAAAGAAAAGATGTTGAGAGGAAAGTTCAGGCTTGAATAAAAACACTGCTTGTTTTTTTTTTATCATGTTATTGAATGATTCATTTTCTTTTCATTGGATTATAAAAAAGCTTTGTAATAGACATAACAAATGGTGGAAAATGGGATAAGATATTACCTCAATCTAGGCTAAGGAGGAGGTCACACAAAAGCTCTCCCGTTAGCAATGTTGACGGGAGTAATTATTATGGTTTCTATTTGGTAGCTCTGACTAGAAGCCACAAGAATAATGTCATGAATCTCTCTGATGTCTGGATTGAGGATCGATATTATGTCGAGGCATGTCATAATTCTATGGACAGTCTTGGTAGAAGCGTTTTGAACCTGGATCCGTGAGTTTACCAGCCAATCCATTTTTAGTGTCTTGATGAGGATAGAGAGATAACCTGACACACATTGTCCCCTTGTCTTGATCTAGCTGGTACCATTGGAATGATCTCGAGATGGGAGTGGGGGCGGAGAGATCCAGCCCAGCTTGAAGGTTTTTGGTGCTTGAAGCAGAAAACTTTCTCATAGGGCCATCTGGAACCATAGGATGATTGGAAAGCCATAAGAGGGAAATTAGGGATATTAGAAGGATAAATTAGTAAATAGTAGGTAACTGAGTTGGGATATTTTGTTATAAGTAGATGTAGTGAGAAAGGAAGAAATTAGGCAATTGTTTAGTTGGTTTAGGGCTTAAGTGATATCAAGATAAGGACGTCCAAGTACCTCAAATTACTTAGGTTATCTTAGTTCTCTTATCTTTTATATTACAATACATTGTGGTTCGGATTTGGTTCATATCAATGGATTGCAAGGAGAATTAAGTTCTCCCGGTACAATTTTCTTATGAAATTTCTTATGGTGGACAAAGGGAAACCTTGACCTTGTAATGTATTGCACCATAATTGGTATATTATTGTGCTTTAGTCCCAACAAGAGCTTGGATTACTTGTTTATTCATTGAACTTTTTCTGGAGATTAGTATGAACTTTTGTTTCAGAAATTTAATGTTTTTCTACTGGCACTGTAGTGTTTCTAAATTTTTGTTAGGACCTCAATTTCAAGCACTAACGATGTAACACTATTGCAATATGAAAAGAGAAATTATATTATCGTTAGCCTTTGAAGAGGGTTATCCCACTCCCATAATACATCTACTATGAAATGACTCCGCAAAACTATGCCTACCCTCTCAACTCCCTAACCCCCTCTATTATAACCAGCTCACCCTGATAGACTACTGAGTAATTACAATTATGCCACTAATATTATGTTAGGATTCCCCTAACAAGAAATACACCATCGAACTAGAGGCGAGTGATCAGTGTGAATTTCATATTTCACGATTTTCTGTCCATTTTGTTTGTTTGTTTGTTTTATTTATTTATTTTTATTTTGTTAAATTTAAATGATTTGGGCTTTTAACCTTGGGTCTGTTTTGTTTCAAAATTTTCCTTAGTCGGGCCAGCCAGGTCTGAAATGTAAAAGAATATAAAATAAAAAAAGATGTGTAAAATAGCGTGTTGGACACATGTACACGTCCAGACGTATTCGTGTCCGACATGTGTCTGACATGGACACTCAGGAAAAAACCAAGTGTCCATGCTTCATAGCTTAGCTCTGCTAACGGTTTCATATTGCATTATGTCATTTCTTCCCCCTTTTTTTCTACTTCATGATTTTCTACAATATATACTTTTTGAACCCATTCCCGTGATACTTAGGTGCCAATTTGATATGAGGTTGAAGCTAACCGAAAATGCTGTGTGTTTGCATACCCATGTTCAGATATGGTATTTGGGTAGCCTCCAATCAATCTTTATGAGGTTTAGTTGATAGCTTTTCCTTACCCAGGGTGGTAGATAAAACCAACCTTTGTATTCGAGAAGGTCTTACCTCAAGCTTACTGGACATTTATGGTTTAAAAAGTATTGAAGCTAATGTGGACAGTCGTCATAAATTTGAACTGGAAGTGACTCACATACCTATGATACATGCAAAATTATAGATCTTTGGGCTGTTTTATTTTTCTGAGGAGATCTTTTTGTTTTGATATGCTTTGCTTTGTTAATTTGATGTCTATAAGCGAGCTTAAGATTATTGAAGTTTATTTATTTTGTAAGGATTAGAGAAGTTCATTTTTGGATAAGTTACAAGTCTAGTCGTGAATTTTCAGGTTCGTGTCTATTTCATCTCTAAACTTTAAGTATCGAAATGGATCAAGAACTTTCAATCTTGTGTCTAATAGGTTCCTAAACTTTAAAAATGTCTAATACTTGCTTGAACTTTCAATTTTAATTGTGCTTAATAGGTCCAAGACATCTTTGAATTTTTAAGATTTCCTTATCTATTAGATATAAAATTGAATTTTATGTCTAGTGGGACCTAAACTTTCAATTTATGTTGAGTAGGCCCATGAATTTTTGAAAACGTTAAATAGTTCAAAGACCTATTAGATAAAAGATGAACATTTTGAGACCAATTAGAGAGAAAATTGGAACTTGATGGACCTATTAGACACTTTTTAAAATTCAAGGACTAAATATACACAAATCTGAAAGTTTAGAACTAAATTTATAATTTAACCTTGCCCCTTCTCTTTTTTTTTTTTTTTTTAATTTTTTATTATTATTATTATTTTTTAAGTTTAGCTGAGAATTTATAACACTATTTTGACTAAGCTAAATCTTCGTTCTGTGCAGTTTTGAGCAATTATGCATCAATTGCACAAATGTAAAGCTGCCATGACTTTTCAACCAGGTATCCTCGCTTCTTTCTCTCGTTCAATGTCAACTTTGCATGTCATAATGATATCTAGCAGCTCTTCGAGACAGAGCAGGAAGAATATTAAAAGAGTAAATTGATTGAAGCTAGCATACTATTTGCTGATAATCAAGCTCTCCCGGATCACTTTAAGAAGGTTCATCTCTCATCCTTAGAACTTCGCTCCTTGAGTTATGAGCTCCCGCTCAGTCTTATGCAGTTGATTTCTCTTCATTTTAAAAGCTTACAGAAAATCTATTCACTTTATTTTTGTCATAAATATTATACATGAATGATGCATCTATCACTATAAGGTTCAGCCTAACCTATTTGTAGGAGATTTCACTTTTCCTAGGAAGTAAAGGAGTTATTGGACATGGTCTCAACCTGTTCAAGAATGCAGAAATTCGGCTATGGACAATTCTCATTATGGCTTTCGTTTGGAGTCTATAGGAAGAAAGAAATCAAAGAGTATTCACGGAGAAGACACAAACTTATATTAGGCTATTTGAAACTTTTGTTTACCACACCATTTTTTGGTGTAAATTGTCTAATAGCTTGCTATAGTCATACATTCCTCATTGTAAATTAGGAAGGTCATTTGTAAGTATCATGGATAACACATCCCTCTTGTAAGTTTCAAACATCAACGAAATTCACTTATAAAAAATAAATAATTTTTTTTTTTCTCATTCAGAGAGGTGAAGTGATAATACCAAAGTAATTGGCTGGATAAAATTGATCTGAAATGTTTTTTTTCTTAGTGAATGCTATAATATGTTAATAAGGGGTTGATCTGAAATGGGATTTCCTATTGAAAGGAAAATTATGATAGGCCCTTGACAATTTTATTGATAGGAAACAGTCCAACATAGCTCTTTCATGCTGTGGAAGTAAAGAGCAGGGTAAGCTTCCCTGGTCAAGTAAAGGGTGGTGCACTCTTGGACAATTCTACTTGAAATTGAAGTATGCTAGTGAAAAGCATGCTGGAACTGACGAAAAACCTGTTGTGCAATGCGGAAAATTTTCAATGAATGTGGATGTTGCATTGGAAGTGCCGAGAAGACCCTGTCAATGTTGGATAGAATGGAAACTTTCGTTCAAACCAAAAGTAATTATTGTGGTTTGGCTCCTTTTAGGCGGTTGTTTTTTAAAGTTTTTTCATTGGTTTGTGCTTTCAAGCCCGTATGAACTGTTCTGTTTCCTAAATCTTTTATGAATGAAAGCTTGGATTTCCATTTTTTTAAAAAAGACCAATAGTAACTATTTTGGTGGTGTTGTGCAGAGATTGAACTTCTGAGTTCGATGGGCAGTTATGATAAAAAGATTGTGGTAAACTTGGTGATTTCTGCAAACACCTACTTCTTACTGGACAGGTGGTTGTCTCGCGCATTCCAAACGCATTCTGTCCAAAGTGCTTACCACATGGCCACCAGATATATGCTGTCTTCTGATTTCTCATACTACGTGAGTACTTATACCTGCTACCACAGTGAAAACCAAACAAGTTTTTGTTTCAGGAGCATTATATGATGAACACTGGGCGTAGCTATGGTTGTAGTAGAAGAGAACAAACTTGTAGTAGTAAATGAAGGGACTGATGAAAAGAGAGATTTTAACATTCAAGTGCTTGATATTAAAACTATGTATGAGATTCATTTAGTTTTCATTGAATTACTGTAAACATTAAACAGGAAGGGCCCTGGGACTATTCTAGAAATAAAATGGCATGCTATTCATTTCTAAGAATCATTTATATTTTGAACATTTGACATAAAAAAATTGTTTCAGGCTGATAGGCAAAGAGCTAACGAGAGAGAAAGGACATGCTGAAATGGAGAATTCAAGGATGGGGAAGTTACAAGGAACTGAAAGGAGAATGCAACTTCAGGACTATTCTATAAGACAGGTAGCAAACATAGATTTGGATACATATATGATACTCAAATGTTTGAAAACTTCAAAGCATGTATGAAGAATGCATCTTTTCTGAAAAAATGAAGTTCTGTTTTCAATTTGACAGACCACCAAACATGGATTAGTATACATATTTGTGTTTCAAAATTCTACAAACGGCATTTCATGATTTACTTGTAGGAGCCTGTTGGTAATTTATAATTATATGTAGTTTCATTCTGCTGGATAAAGGTGTTCAAAGTTCGGCATCCATTAGGCTGAACCAGTTACTACTTAACAAAACTTTTGATAGCAAAAGAAGTAGAACAGTGTTAATGGGCATAATGATCATATATGTGGATGTAATGATTCAAACAGATTTGATACTTAAGCATGAACGTGATGCATTTGCTAGAACTTTTATTCTTTCCACGAACTAAGTCGCACCTGAATTGCTGTTGGAATGAGGCTGCAGGTAGCTGGATAATTCATTTCTGTTGGTATCTTACGGATTTGGAAACCGAGCGATTTTCTACCACACGTTACCTCTTGAAGTTGGACCTCCGCTTCATAAGGAGTTTTGTGCGAGTCTTTCTTTCATAATAAGCCGACACTGACTGCCCATAGATACTGTTCTGAAAGAGGAGATTACTGATGCCATTCGAGACTGAATTCAATCTTGAGGTAAACTTTTGCATTTGAATCTTTGTTCTTAATGGAGTTCAAAATGAGAAATGAATATCTCAATATTATTAGTGTAGGACTAATCTTGGAGGGTTCCTGACTCAAATTTTTAATGAATAATACCTCTTAAAACCTAGGGACCCCTATTTAAAGGGCTACAAACCATCCTATAAGGCACTGGCAACAGTAACTAAGTCAAATGACAGCAGCAAAACTAAAAGTTTTAAAGATTACTCTGCCTTACTTACGGACGAACTGTAAATACTCTGGCTTCTGAAGACAGTGAAAGGCTTAAGACTAAATCCAGAAGATTAAAGCCACGGTAAAGCCACAGTAAAAGAGAAAATCAACTAAAAAATACAGTACATTGAAGAATACACTACATCAATTCACTCTTCCTAAAGATAACTCATTCTCGAGTTAACTCAAAAGCCAACTGAAAACCAACTGGGGGCATGGTAAGCTGTGAGGTATGAAAAATTGGAAGTAGTGGAAATTTTGAAGTGTGGTAGAAGATGAACTTTGAAGGCATTAGGACCATAGCGTTCATTAATAGGAAAAGGCCCTATTTCTCTTTGGATGGAGCTTGCCATGAACGCTCGAAGGCATCCTAGACTTGTGCAAATGAACAATCATGAGATCCCCACTGGCAAAGGATTGAATAGAGTAGATTGTGACTCTCAGGTTGCGACAAGCAAAGCGGCGACTCTCAAGTGGTGCCCATTCGGCCACATTAGGACCTAGACAAGTGTCATGATGCGATCGAGGAGAATGATGCATCATTTAACACCTCACACATAGTGGACATTGAAGAAAATATGAGACATAAGCAAGATAAGGGCCACGAGTGTCAAAGATGGGCTTGTTGAAGGGCTTTGTAGGGCCCCAAGCCTTAACCTCGAAAGTCGGGGTTTGAAGGGAATTTGGGCATGCAGTTTTGGAATCAAATCCGTCCATATGAAATATGAATGCTCGCTAAATTTGGTGTCAATTGAACACCGGACAGACGCTCCACGACATCATATGATCGTTTGCCGGATGTCTACTTGAGGAGGATCGAAAATGCCTCAAAATGTACCTTAGGGGAGGCATGATGTCAGCTCTCCACTATCCTGGGCCCTGTGGCATACGTGAGCTACCCTGTGATACATATATGTGTCAAAATGAGGGCGAGTGTTGCGAGATGAGTGTCTCAAGTGACTTCTTTTGAAATGGGTCTTTCAAGAACAGTATTGGGTGGCACGAGTGTGCCGCTATTGTGCCCCATTCCATGTGTCAGAGGTTAGATTATGCACCTGCTATCCGTTATGGAGTCTGTAAAGGACATGACATGGACACAGGAGGACCAATGCCTCAATTGAACCTAGATGGATGAATATTCGGGATGTCCCAATTTCACGAACGACATGTGAGCCCCTTCTCGATGACATGACTGAGTGAGCTGTGATGGCTGACGACACCTCGTGACTTGGGATGACGTCAAGACATATGGTGCATGTTAATTGGGAACCAAGATGACATGATGAGAAGCAACGTTGCACATGAGAGACTTTGGCCCCGAGTAGAGGTAAGATTGAGCCAAGTGACTTGTCCTAGTGTAGAGGCAAGTCGGTTGTGTTGCAGACAATTGAACATGCATGCACAAGATGGCGTGTGTGGCCGAACAAACTTGAATTTCGCAAGTGATGTTCAGTTGGTGAAGACAAATCTCGCTTAAGGTTTGACGAAGCCACAAAGCTGGGCTAAAAATAAATATTGGGCTTGGATTTCCCTTTAGCTGGTCGTGAGCATGTCAAGATCACGACGTTGCACTGTTGAAAAAGTACGACTATGACACTTAGCAACCATCATAATTCTCCTTAAATGCTCGGGTAAACTCTCAAAATGTAATTATTTTATCAATTGCTCATGTAAGGAGGTGTATGGTATGCATAAGACATTGCTCTTAAACAAATATCCATCAACAATATGAAAGTGACTAGGGTTAACATGGTGGCAACATTTACTCCAAATATCGTAAAAATCAACATCAAACTCATCATAGATGCCAACTCTTCAAAAACAATAATCTCCCTCCTTGGTACAGTAGTCAGAGAATGCTTCCTACCAAGGACATCAGCTTCTTTATTCGTATTTCCATCTAGCATACTGATAACGAAAAAGCAATTGTACTAAAATCTTTGATGAACTTTCGATGAAAAAAAGCCAAACGCCAAAAAAATAATTGCACATTTCCAGCAGTTTTTAGTAAGGGCCACTTTAATAGCTTTAATTTTGGTAGGATCTACTGTTATACTGTTGCTAGCAATAATGAACCCCAAAAATTTAATTTCCGTTTATAAGAAGGAACACTCTTTAAGGCTGATATAAAACTGGTTCTTTTCCAAGGTGGCGAATGGTGTTCTAAGGTATCCTAGATGTTCATCCTTGGATTTACTGCATAAAAATTAAACCTTGAAGTTAAGAGGTGAGTTTATAGCAATCTTATAGTTATAAAGATTTTTAATTTTTCTAAGAAAAATCTAACTAATTATACAAATTAAAGGGAATTGAGTGATGGATCAAGGTATCAAATTCCTAGCAACAATCCTCTATACAGAGTCCTTAGATCCGCCGTGTCCCAAGAGAGGGAAGGAACTGTAGACCAAGAGCACTTCAATCTGTCCCTTCAGAACCGTATGCATTGTATTTAGTGAGTGTTTAAGGACGGACGCACGACGATGGAAAGTGGGTTCAATCGGAGTTTTTGCAGTCACACTCCCCAAGGAAAAGTTCCCAGGAATAAGTGGTGGTTGGAGAAGACATGTCGACCATTATCGGAGGAGGTTGGAGGACAAATTGGAAATACTGGAAAATCAGCCAAGGAAGACCAACGTGGGTTGGTTTGAACCCGGATCCAGAAAGTCCTCAATGTTGAGCCACCGGAGCCGAATCTCTACGCTACCCAAATCCATTCACAGCCCTCTCTGCATGCGTGTTTAAAACAGGACGCAGACGGCTCAGCCCATGCATGCTGCAGCTCAACCGTTAACCCGACTGCGACCCACACCCCTCTTATTTCAACTCGGCTTAGTGCATTCCGACGGCTTCTAAATAGCTCATTTGGTTTGGGTTAGACTATTTGGACTCGTTTCTTACTTTCTTTACCCTTCTTAAGTGTTTTTGACATTATTGGAAGCATTTGAGGTCAGGATGACCCCTATTTGCTCAATTTAAATTATTTTGAGAAGAAAATTGGAATTATTTGATATCTTTAGGTAAGTTAAGCTTGTAATATTCTAATGTGATGTTGTGGGTACACATGTTGAATCGGACATTGAGGAACAAATTTGGGTCAGTTCTAGAAATATTTAGTGACTCTGATTAGGCTAACCAAGTAAGTGGCTTCACTACTAGTTTGGTTGAATGAGTTGCTTGCAGTATGAACGACGCTTGCTCTGTGACTCTTGCACATGTTGTACTTTGTGATTGTATAGTGTCTATTTATTATATTATTGTTGTGTTGTGAATATGTTGGGCTATGAAACTTGATATGTTATGTTAGGGTGTAATTATGAGATATATCATATTATGAAATATCATGTTGGCACATTATCCATTTAAAATTGTGCTATGTTATACTATGTTATACACTATATTATGAGAGGACATAAAATGATTATGTTATGTATGAAATTAATGAAATTATATCTTGCATCACAGATACATCTCATGATTTTGAACTATAGGGATCTCACACATATTGAATGTTCACGTGTATCAGGATACTTCTCCACTATGATTAGTACGGATGCGTATACTACGATGTTATGATATGGTATTATGTACACCTTGATACTATATTAGTTCCTTTCCCTCGTGGTATACTGGTCGCGTGAGTGCACGCTAGTCAAAGGGCCAGGTCCAAGGGTACATATACGAACTTGCTTGGGAATTCATGTGCACGTATTTTATTTTGAAACAATAAGAGTCCCAAACATGATTACATATAATTACATTTCTTGATTCCAGAGATACTTATTGAATATTTCCATTTTAAAATACTCAAGTCTCGTACTACTATTATTTTTTCAGGTAAATGTCAAGTGTCTTTGTACGAATGACGATGTCGCGGTGACGACCATGAGATTGCAGCTAGGGTAGATGTATTCTTGTTGTTTCTGACCCTTAAGTTAGATTAGGACATTATTTTATTTATTTTCGATTAGGAAGAATCTTTGACTGGCGTTCCTAATTTAAACCAAATTTATGATGACTTCTTTTTTGTGGGAAATTATATAAAGAAAAAAAAAAGTTAGGCTAATGAATGGAGTCAAGATCAAGGAAACATCATTACAAGAAGAAAGGTGTTTTAATTTCCCTTTAATTATTAATTAATTAAATCCTCAATCCCACTTTTCTTTTAATTTTTATTTATATAGTTAAAAAAAAATATAAAAAGAATAAGATAAATTATTTCAAATTTAATAAAGGAAGCAAATAGAAATGATTGTCACATTGTAGATGAAATCAAAACCACAATGAGAGCGATTATGATGATAGGATGACTAAAAAATACCTAAAGTAAATGAAAATTACTACATATACCAATAAAATTTATTTTCTTTTTCGGTATCTCAATTATAGAAATTTCACGAATTTTCTTTGTTAAAACATACGGGAAGAACTTATTTTGATATGTAAACACAAGTAAAATAACTATGTCGGAGATGTATAAGAATGTCAAAGTTATCATATTCAAAATCTTGATCTGAATCCTAAAAAAATCTTGATCTGAATCCTAAAAATACGTTTGTCACCATTTATAAATTCATTTATACAAATATTGTTGAGTTCGAAATCCCAAAATTATTACGTGGGTCAACTTTATGGATTTATATAGATATTTAATAAACTAAAATTAAAAAAAAAATAAAAAAAAGTGTTACTAAAAGTTCAATAAAATTGTAAGAATAAAAAAATAAAAAAGAAAATTCGGTAGACACTCAGAGCGTCACTGAATGATGACGGCGCTGACTTTCATAAAACGGTTTCCTCCGCCTCCGCCTCCAGAAATGGAAACGCCCTAGTGGCATGTCTGGTAAATAACGGCATTTTATAAGGGCAATTACGTAAAAGATCAGTAACCGGCGAACAGAATTAGGAATCAGAACGGCGGCTGCCTGGCACAACCTGTCCACCGCCACCCAACACATTCCTTTTCCTTCCATTTTCTTCTTTCCTTTTTTCCCATTAGAAAAAAACCAAGATGGCTTCGATTCAGGAGCCACTCCCCGCTAACTGTGGCTCTAAACCGCTAATTTCTCTTTCTATTCTTAGGGTTTTAGCTTTGCTGTTTGTTCAATGTAATCATTCCTCTGTATCTCTACGCGTTCGTTGCCATTTGAGTTTTCTCCTCTTAATCTCTCCGATTCGGAGGGGGAGGAGGAGAAAACGATGCATCTCTTACAAAATATTTTCAGTTTCGCAGCGATTAATGGCTAGGGCTTTTGTGTTTGATTCATAAATGGTTATTTCGGTAGCGATTCTTCATGATTGATGGGTTTTTCATTAGGGTTTGACCGATATGAGTTGCTTTTGTTGTATTAGTTCTCACACTAAAGATGGGAACAGAGTCGAAATTGATAATGGTGTTGAATTTGAATCCCTTCGTTTTGGTGAGGGCTGTTCAAAGGGGAGCGGTGCTGTTCGTAGTTTCAAGTTCCGTGAACTCGCCGCAGCCACAAGAGGGTTCAAGGAAGTGGATTTGCTTGGCGAGGGTGGGTTTGGACGCGTCTACAAAGGGCGTTTGGAAACAGGGCAGGTAAAGTTGCATAGCTATGACAATTATTGGGGGAAAATTCATTTGAGTTGTACCATTTGTTCTTCTTTGCAGATTGTTGCAGTTAAACAGCTTAATCGTGATGGGCGTCAAGGGTTTCAGGAATTCCTTGTGGAAGTTCTTATGTTGAGTTTGCTACACCATCCCAATCTTGTTACCTTGATTGGTTACTGTAGTGATGGAGATGAGAGGCTTTTGGTTTATGAGTTCATGCCTATGGGAAGCTTGGATGATCACCTTTTTGGTAAATCTTCTTCTTTTTGCAGTCTTCCATATTCGTTTTAGATTTGTTTAAGTTATAGTTCATATGAACACATTTCAACAATTAAAGCTATTTTTGTGAGATCTTATATTGATTGGAGATAGGAACGCTGGGCCCTGAAGGGGGAGGATTGTAAGATCCCACATTGGTTGGAGAGGGGAAGGAAACATTCTTTGTAAGGGTGTGGAAACCTCTCCCTAGCAGACGCCTTTCAAAAACCTTGAGGGGAAGCTCGAAAAGGAAAGCCCAAAGAAGACAATATCTGCTAGCAGTGAGCTTAGGCTGTTACAAATAATGTGAGATCCCACATCGGTGGGAGAGGGGAACAAATCATTCTTTGTAAGGGTGTGGAAGGGGAACGAGTACCAGTGAGGACGCTGGGCCTCGAAGGGGAATGGACTGTGAGATCCCACATCGATTGGACAGGAGAACGAGTGCCAGCGAGGACGTTGGGTCCCGAAGGGGAGTGGATTGTGAGATCCCACATTGCTTAGAAATAAGAAACAGTACTAGTGAGGACGCTGGGCCTCGAAGGGGAGTGGAGTGTGAGACCCCACATTGATTGGAGAGGAGAACGAGTGCCAACGAGGACGCTAGGCCCCGAAGAGGGGTGGATTGTGAGATCCCACATCGGTTGGTGAGGGGAACGGAGCATTCTTTATAAGGGTGTGGAAACCTCTCCCTAATAGGCGCGTTTTAAAAGCCTTGAGGGAAAGTCCGAAAGGGAAAGTCCAAAGAGGACAATATCTGTTAGTGGTGGGCTTGGGCGGTTATAGATTTGATCCTTGACGATGAATCTTCTTTATTTCAGATTTGGGTAGTGACAAAGAGCCACTGAGTTGGAATACAAGGATCAAGATTGCAATCGGTGCTGCTCGAGGCCTCGAATATCTCCACTGTGAAGCAAATCCCCCGGTCATATACCGTGACTTGAAATCAGCTAATATCTTATTGGACAATTACTTTAATCCGAAGCTTTCAGATTTCGGTCTCGCTAAACTAGGACCGGTCGGTGACAATACTCACGTTTCAACTAGAGTCATGGGAACACATGGCTATTGTGCTCCAGAGTACGCCATGAGTGGCAAGTTAACCCTCAAATCCGATATTTACAGCTTCGGCGTGGTTCTGCTCGAGCTTATTACAGGTCGTAAGGCAATCGATACTACAAGGAGAACAGGGGAGCAGAGCCTAGTTTCTTGGGTTAGTAATCTAATAACTTCGTTTGCTCAAAGCCAATTCAACTCGCTGATTTCGTATTTGAGCTTGTGTAGGACTTTTAGCCTCGTGGCATTCCCTATCCGATACAGTCGTATATTTCGAGAGTCGAGAGTATAACTGCTGACGTTTTCTTAGGATAATTTGTGTCATTATCTTCTATACAATCTGCAGTCTCATCCTTTCCTGAAGGACCGAAGAAAGTTCGGGCAATTAGTCGATCCCCTATTGGAAGGACGTTTCCCTCTTCGTTGTTTGCAACAAGCAGTTGCAGTTACTGCAATGTGTCTTCAGGAACAACCATCATTTCGCCCTCATATTGGTGAAATTATTGTAGCACTCGAATACTTGGCCTCTCGAACTTATTTACAAGAACTACACATTGGTAGGACTCAGCGTTCCTCGCTACAACGATCACTTTCACAACAGAATGGATACACCAATGCCGAGCTATCGAGTCCGTGAAATGGCTAAACATCTGTTTGGAGATTGCTGTATACAAGTCGCCGAACAAGCCATGTAAGGAGTCTAACATATCAAAGTTTCTTTTAAAGCATTTCATCATACTTTTGTAAGCACACGGCTCTCTTCTGTGACTGATGTGATATTTGATTCAAAGGAGGAGATGCTTACACCTACGTCAGCCGAAAGCAGCTTGTCGAAAGACACATATCAATTCATTTCAGCGTGTGGACCACGAAGCTACTCGGGATGTTCCAAGGTATGTATTAGGTGCGTACTACTCGTAAATGGTATCTGTATGCTGTTGGTAAGAGGATCCCTGAATTTTTTTTAAATACAATATTCTTTTATATAGAATGGAAAATACGAGTTACGATATGAATAGTACAAACGTTTCTCTCGTTTTGCAACGTAGGAGTTCGAATAAGAATTAGGAAAGCTCCAAAAAGTTTCGTTTCCGAGCTGGCTAGAATACGTGCATTGAATGATGATGTTGGGTCTTAAGTTTGTTTGTTTATAGCTGCAAAAATGGATTTGTCAGCTCAAATAGTCAATACACTGACCTGTAGATCTAAGAAACTTCATAAAATATGGCAACCAACCACC